TGCAGTGGTACTTTAAGGGTCGCTTTTTAAAATGTCTATACATACAAATACAGTATATACAGTATATACATGCATGAATCGTACAGGAATCTCCAGAATCGGACCTCCTGGGGAGGAAAATGAATGCAATACGTCTCTGAAAGGAGGAGAGGGGGGGGGGAACCAAATTTCCCCTGGGATTCGATTGATTTCCAACGCGCATCCATACGGACCCGGTTGGAGAGAATAGTAATTTGGAACGACTTTCTTAGAAGGGGATATCTGCATCCTCAATCATCCTCAGGCTCATCATGATGCAGTGGAAGCTTGCGCTTTCCCCCCCCCCCGCCGCCGCGCGCGCCTTTTGCAAACGTGGCCGGGTTGCTCCGAATGGGGCGCCCGCCGCCCACACTCCCTCCGTGTAAACGGGAGGCGATCGAGGCTGCTGGTCGGGATCGCGATGTACCTTCATCATGCTGGCCGAGGCGCTCCTCGAAATTCCCCAAATTATAAAGGGGGGTGGGCAGAAGCGAGGCGAGAAAAACGAGAAGGCGGCTCGGCACGGCGGTCTTCCTCTCCCGGAGGGCTCTGTCGGTGCGGATGGAGCCAGGCAGCCCGATCCGGGCTTTCCCCTGCAAAAAGGCAGCCCCCGCGGATCCGGAGGAAAGGCAGCCGCCGGTGCAGCGGAGCCTAGAAGGAAGAGTCCCCGGCGAGGCGGCCGAGGGTGCAGCTTCTGCTCCGCGTCCGCTCCGATTGCATCACGGTGCGCAGAAAGGGCGCACTCCTCGCCGCCGCCGCTAGGGGGCAGCAGGCGCGGAATAGCTGCGCACGTCTCCGGGCCGCGGAGGGCGGACACGGGGGCTCCCACGAGGTCACATAAACGGGCCCCCGCGCTGGAGACACCCGGTGGGACGGACGCGTGTATTGAAGCCCGGACAGTCGTGCAGCCGCGAAAGCCAGAAGTTTTTCTCCTTTTTTTCCCCCCCACCGCGTTTTGTTCCAAAAAGTATGCTGGGCTGGGGAATTCTGTAGTCCAAAAAACCAAAACGAAATAAAAATTAAAAAAAAAAGAATTGCAAGAGTAAGCGTGACCTTTAGAATGTATTTTAAAACTTGTTTGATTCTTGTTGTTTTTATTTTCTTTTTACTGTGCTTTTTGATGTTGTAAACTGCCCAGAGTGGCCGTAGACCAGATAAGCGGTATATAAATCGAATAAATAAAGTAAAAATACTTTTATAGACCACTTTAAAAATCGCCATACACTATGCGAGATCAAGTCCCCTTCAGTAGTCTTGATCCACGGAAGCTCGCGCTTTGTATGACGATTTTTGTACTGGTCTATAAAGGCTTTTAAAAAAAAAATTAGGTACCGCCTACTCTTGCATTTTGTTTTGGCCGCCCAGCTCCCTTTTATTTTAAACAAACTTAAGTTTTCCAAGTTCTGCTGGCTTTACCTGTCCTCGCTGTCTTGTGGGCCTTAGTGTATCTTGAGCAGAGTATAGGAGGGGAGCCTTCCCCCGTTGGTCCATTAGCAAACTTCATGGGACAATCCCCTGTGCATCCCAGTAAAGATGGAGAAGGGCTTGCATCCCGTATTTTTAGGGTGGATAAAGTCTGTACAAGGGGGTGCTGATAAGTATTGAGCCTTTCCCAGAAAAAAATTGAGCTAGGAAGCTGTAGCGGCCACACTATTCTACATATTCTCCAGGAAGTCAGTGCACTTGGGACATCTGTCCTGCAGCTTCTTAACTCCCTGCAAATAAAATTCTTCCAACTGCTGGTGTAACCACTCATTTGCAGCATTAGTTGCCTCCAGAACAGTCCCAAATTGTTGTCCTTTTAGGTGTTTTTTGAGTTTGGGGAACAGATAATAGTCAGAAGGAGCCAGGTCAGGAGAATAGGGTGGATGGGGCATCACTTGAAAGCCTAAGGACGTCAGTTTTGCCATTGTTTCACCTGCAACGTGTGACGAGGCATTGTCATGCAACAGGATGACACCTTTGGAGAGCATTCCTCAATGTTTTTCCTTGATGTTTTGCCTCAGCTTCCTCAATAAAGCACAGTAATACTTTGCATTGATGGTTGAACCCTGTTGGAGGCAGTCCACCAGCAGAAGTCCTTATCCCCCAAAAAACTGTTGCCATTTGCTTCTGCACCGACCTTTGCACTCGGAACTTCTTTGGCCTGGGGAAACCACTGTGCCTCATAGACTGTTCCTTTGTCTCAGGATCATAACAGTAGATCC